GGGATTAAAGGCCTGTGCCACCACTGCTTGGCTCAGCCAGCAGTCTTGAAGTTGTTCTGGATGTAGAACTCAGAGGAAACTGCATCAAATGCACTCTTAAACATTAGGCCATCTGAGTCATCTGTTCTCACTGGAGATTTTTTTCAGGTGGTCTTCCTTGATCAAACCTTATTTTTCTTAAGAATGAATCCACAGACTCTCATTTCCTGTGGAAACAAAAGCAAAATCTCTTCTCCAAAGTAACATACATTTTGACTTAAATTTTGAAGTCAAGGCATTTTTAAAATATACATGTTGGATTAATCCAGCAGCATTTTAATCTTTTAGCACCTGTTACTCCTTCCTCAGCAGTCCAACAATTCAAAGACAACACAATAACATATAGCATCCAGATTCTCTGTGCATTTTCCATCCTTACATAGAAGCTAAGCCAGAGCAGATAGGAGCTAGGAGAGCTAGTTTTTCTCCAGAACCCAGGTGGCTAGGTTTGGGTCCAGCTCCTAAAGCTAGAATTCCAATCCCAACTCTAACCTGGGTTGCTGGCTAAAAAAAACCTCGGGCAAACAGCATCTTTGTGAATTCGTACCCCAAAATGTTGAGTGCCAAATGAAGCTTGATTAATAGAATCTCAGTGTCAGATATTGGGGTTCAGCCTGGTTTTGTGTCCTGCTTGTCTCAGGATCTGATGCCCTCTTCTGGCATGTGGGAATGCAGAGCACTCATGCATAAAATATAAATAAATAAGATTAGAAAAAAATGGTTTTCACAGATGCTGACTTGTGTCCCCAGAGCCCACACTTGTCTAGTGTCCTAAGAAGAGCTGGGTTTCTCTCATCTGTCTTGCTTCTAACTGGCAGTCATAACGTGCCCTATGACCAGCTCCACTCCCCAGCAGAACACGGGACTGGCCCTACCTTGTTCAAAAGCTATACTAAAGCTCCAAGGACCTTGAACTCATTATGATAATAGCACACCTATAGGTGCCAGTACAGATCCAGGAATAAATAAATTAGGGGGGAAAAGAGGCGCTACCCTGATTCTTGGAAACTTTCTCCATGAAAAGTACTTATGATGTAACACAGTGGTAGAGTTTTTATCTAGCATGGTGGAGATCCTGGGCTCAATCCCCAGTAGTGCATCCTCTCCCCATAATAAAATGACAGAAAAGAAAGCTCTGAGGTGAGCTTGCACACACCACCCCTTGTAACATAACCCTAACAAGTCTGCACCGCAGTACTGAGGGAGAAGGGGCCTTATCAGACAAACTATCCGGGCTGCTTCCAGAACTGCTTCATTATTTGTGGATGGTATTGCATAGAGAAAGATTCTGGAAAATTGGTTGGCAATGCTAGTGTGGAAATCTTCCTAGCCTGTGGGTACACTGTGCACCTGAACATAGAGAAGCAGAAACAGAACATTAGAGGGCTGGGTGGACATTCCTCAGTGAGAGAGCTTGTTCAAAATCTGGAATTCTATCTCTAGTACAAAAACAAACAAAAAATGTAATAGTTAAAAAAGTGGCTGGGGGGCTGGGTGGTGTTGGTGCATGCCTTTAATTCCAGCACTCAGGAGGCAGAGGCAGGCATATCTCTGTGAGTTCGAGGCCAGCCTGGTCTACAAGAGCTAGTTCCAGGACAGGCAGGGCTGTTACACAGAGAAACCCTGTCTCAAAAAAACCAACCAACCAGCCAACCAACCAACCAACCAAGTAGCTGGGCAGAAGTGGCACATGCCTTTACTCCCAGCACTTGAGCGGCAGAGGCAGCCTGGTCTACAGAGAGAATTCCAGGACAGCCAGGGGTACACAGAGAAACCCTATCTCAGAAAGAAAAGAAAGAAAACAAAGGGGAAATAATTTTCCCTAAAATTTATTATGGTTGGCAAATACTGTATCATTGAACTACACTTCATTCAAATCTTTACTATGAGAATCTGTAAAAACACAGAAAAGCTTAAGTAACTGTAGAACAAGCAGCCATATGTACCTGCATTCTGCAATTCTCAATATTTACATTCTTATTGGAACAATTGTCTTTCTATCCATTCTACCTAGCTACTTTTTATCGTATAAGATTTATTTTTATTATTTTAACTATGTGTATGTGTATGTATGTTCAAATGAGTACAGGTGCTCTCAAAGACCCAAGGAGGATGTATTATTTTTTTATTTTTTTTTAAATCTTTATTTATCTATTATGTACACAGTGTTCTGTCTGCATGTATGCCTGCAGGCCAGAAGAGGGAACCAGATCTCATTACAGATGGCTGTGAGCCATCATGTGGTTGCTGGAACTTGAACTCAGGACCTCTGGAAGGACAGTCAATGCTTTTAACCTCTGAACCATCTCTCCAGCCCCCAAGGAGGAATTAAATCCTCCCTGGAACTGGAGTTAAGGTAGTTGTGAACTTCATGAGGCCGGAGCTGGAAATCAACTCCAGTCCTCTGCAAGAGCAATGCAAGCTCCCAACAGGAAGCTGGGCAGTGGTGGCTCATGCCTTTAATCCCAGCACTTGGGAGGCAGAGGCAGGCAGATCTCTATGAGTTCGAGGCCAGCCTGGTCTACAAGAGCTAGTTCCAGGACAGGCTCCAAAGCTACAGAGAAACCCTGTCTCGAAAATCCAAAAAAA